CAAGTTTCAATATCCTAGCGTTAATAGTTTTCGTTTGATTGGCAAATCAAAAGGGTCAGTTACTTCTGGGACACCCTGTATAAATGCGTACGATTGCTCAGTGACGGACAACAAACACTAAAAAAATGAAATTTATGAAAACAAGTCTAGTTGTAATCCTGGCCGCTCACAGTGAGTACACCGCTTGTGCATCATCCATGTGATACTAGACGAGCTGCTTTCGTAAAATACGTTCCGACGGAGTAGATACAACTAATACAATAAAAGCAGGTCATAAATGATTCAAGGTGAACTAGGTAGTTTTTAAAGGATATTTTGAGTAGAAGGCGGACGGGAAAAATGCGATCGGCAACTGGCAATAGTTTGAAGCTTCGAAGGACGAAAGCTAGGATTTTAACGATCTGAAACCACCAGCAGCCCAAATGGGGGAGGGAGGGTGAGGAGTAGACCACACTAACCTGGAGGGTCGTTTTCTTGAGGGAGTCATTGACTGTGCCGGCCAGACAGCAGTGACTGATAGCGTTTACAATCACCGCCCTGTTTGATTTTGGCTTTGGTTTTGCGTAGAGCCGCGGCTGGGGAAGACCAGCGACAGACAGACCGGGTCCGCTGTAGGCGCTGTCCTCACCAGTTGCTAGTCGGTGAAGAGCTGAAGAACAGACAGGCAGATGACAAAAGTTAGCTGCTGCTACTATTTACTTGACATGCTATATCTTATTCAGCCCTCGTATTAACATTTCTATGTGCTGCAGGGTAATCGAGTACAGGGGACAGCAGACGGGGGATGATGCCTTTAGAACACAAAGCTCTGGGTTGTCACCGTCTTAATTGTGTGGTGATTCAAAGATAGTGTAATGAGCTTATACAACAGAACCAACTGACCAACCCCAGGTCTTTCAACTCACGACGACGGAAACCGCTAATCGAATAAGATCCAAACTATAAGACAGTTCGGAACGCAAATCAAAGATGTCGCACAGTCGCCGCCGCTCAGATCTGGGCCTCAGTATGGATGACAAGCACTCGCGTCATTGTCGCATGACTGATGAGGTCTATCCTGAATAGACCGACCGACCATCGGCTCAGCAGGCGGTACAAGTGAACACCTAATTCAAGCGCCGACTGGGTTGCCATGGCAGAAAGAGTACAGCAAAGAAAACTGATAGCGTACGCAGTGAGGTAATTTTGTCAGGCGTTGTGCAGACACGATTAGCCAATCAAGGCGCTTGCGTGACGACCGCATTGCATGAATGCCCTAGTTATTTGTGTTGTAAGGGTCAGAACACTCGATCAAAGCATAAAGATCACATTGAATTTGTGGTCTCTTTAGTTATTGACGGTGGGTGTCCCCTAAACGGGTCGTGTGGTATATGCGCTGGACCAACTCCGGGGCTATATCGGAGTACGGCAGGCGTTATTCGGGGTGCGCGCCAGTAACAAATACCAAACATGGGAGGGGGGTGTGAACTAGCCCACATTGGGGCGACTTCGACCACCGATCCCGCCTCCGGTCTTCTTGACTGTGTCTTGACACCGAGTACAGATGGATGACGAAAGAGAGAGC